TCCTAAATGCACAATCTTCACTGATGTTTTTTTTTTTCTATTACTAACCATTAAAAAAAAACAATAAATGATTATTGCCGTCGCCGCACGTTTATAAAAAAAAAAAAATAATAAAATAATGTTTTCTAGAATTTGCTTGCATGTGCTCTCTGTCTCTCTTTTTTTTCTTGCTGTTAATTTGTGTTTTCTATTTTTTTTTTTACATTGGTAAATGGGTCTTCTTACACTTAGATATATTGATATAAATGCACACTTGCATGGGGCTTTGTTATTTAATTTGTATTCTCTTTTTTTTACTGTAATAGAAAATTCTTTTTGTTTTTGCTATATTAAAAAAAAAAACAACATATATTTGTGTGTGTGTTTGTGTGTTTTTTAAATATTCGTTTAGGAATGATCAATATATTCTGTTCAAATGGATGAAATTGAAACAAGCAACAACGTGAGTTTCAATCGATGACAAAATGTCGAGCTTATCACCGCCTTTCCTTCTACTTCTTCTGTCCCTCCATCCCGTATCAACCATCGTCGCATATACCAATTTTTAATGTAATATATTTCACTTGGTTCATCATCATCATCATGATCTAGCTAACACATTTATTTATATGCAATAATTAGCTTGCGTCTTTTAGTATATAGTTGTGATTTATATGTGCTATTTTTCTCGTTTTTTTTTTGCTGCCCTCGTGACTTTTAAGGTGTGTACGTATGGATAATTTTGGATGTTGTGATATACTTTGAAATATGTTTTTTCTTTTGCATCAATCAATTTTTGCTAGATGAGAAACAAAAGATTTCAATGAGGAAAGTGTGAATATTTTATTGAAGGATGTTTTTCCCTGAAGAAGAAGAGAAAATTTGGATAATACAATATTCAGGTAGATGAAATCATTTGTTTTTTTCATGTCATGTCTCTTTTACCTTATAAGAAAATGTTTAAAAGAATTCTCTTTATATTTTTAATAATTACATTGAGATTTTTGTACATTGTGGGAAAAATAGAAGTTCATTATGTTATATTGTAAAAATAGTCTCCTGAGATAGATTAATATTATTATTATTATTTTTGCTTGTTCATATATAAAATTTCCATAAAATAATTATTGAAAAAAAAAAACATGATAAATCAATTTTTCTCGCTATGTTTTGCTTGTCCCAATTTATTTAAATCATTTTCGTATTTGGGTGCTTACTATTTTAAATTGATCTAGATTAGATTTTTTCAATTGACGCGAAGCCTTCGTGTATGTTCGTGTTTGATAATTATTACCGATATTTTTATATATATATATGTTTAGTAATTATTTTCTATGATATCTATGCATGAACCTTATACATATTTGTATGTCGGGTTGACTTGGTTATGCGATAATTTGAGTCTAAATTTGTTTGCTTTTTTTCAATCATCAAAAAAAAAAACCACTCATACTTACATATATATATATTATACAAATGAAAAACCAAAAAAAAAAGATTTAAATTTGAACATGCTGATTTCTATAACAAAAATATGCATGTTGTCAGTATCTATTATTATTGCTAGTTTTTCTATATTTCTTTTCATTTTTGTAATCTCCTGATCGTCGTCATATTGTATACTGTTCGATTGGGTCTCTTCTTTAATCGTTTATTATTACTTAAGTTTTTTTTTTCGTGTGTGCGTGCGTGTGTGTGTGTATTATTTAAATGTTGTTTCAATGTTGCCTGTTTGTGTGTGTGTCTATATTTTAGGTCATAGTAAATGTGGTGTATACGTTTGTAAATATGCTGATGTATGCATTCGACAAGCTAGTGTTCGACGAACATGGGAAGGAAGTATGACAATTAAAATGATTGTTTTTAAGGTTTGTTTGAAAATTAAATTAAAATGTATTATATTTGAAACGTTATTATTATTGTTTAAATATATATTAGATTGTTGAAGGAAAACAAACAGCAGCTCTTGTTCGAAAAGGGCCAAAATTACAACCTATAGCACCTACACCTCATTTTACAAGTCATTGTTCAGTAATCACACCTAAAGAAACGGATGATTTGGATAAACAATTTGATCAATCACAAGTAAAAAAATCAATATTTTTTAAGAATTCATCTTATTATTATTATTATTGTTTTTTAAACATCTTTTAGATATTTCTATATGAATTTGAAGGTCGAGAAACAGTTAAACGACCTCATCATTGTTTACCTTATGCTATTGTTAGTCTGATACAAGATGGTATGCCTATAAAATATTTTATAAATTCATCTTTTCTATTTCGATGCTTTTATATTATTTACAGGTACACAATGGCCGACAAATTTTGATGATTTAGATATGGAGTCTGATGTATTAGAGACAGATACATTACGAGTCATTGCACAAACAGATGATCCATTATTACAAAATAAATTAAAAGAAAATATTGAATTAGCTGAAGCAGCCACACGTGCTTTGGAACATATTTATGAAGAAGAACCACCACCACAACAACAACTACCCAGCATAGTAGAACAATCACATTCACCATCAACAAATTCAGAAATAATATTAACAACAACAACATCGGACAATCCATCTGTTCCTATAGTTAATGGAACAGGAGCATCATCATCTTCGACAATATCTAATGACAATCTATCAACAACATCACCGTCTCCTACAGTAGTAACAATAAATAGTGCTGAAGCTTCATTAAGCTCTATAGTACCACCACCACCTCCATCTTCTTCAGCAACAACAACAGTTTCAACTACAAAAACACCAGCTACAGCTGTAGCAACTACAATACCATTAGCACATTCTACAGCAGCTGTTCAAGCAGCTTATCGACAGCAAACAAGTCTCTTAGGTGCACTTCCAACTGCAGCTGCTCTACGAGCATCACAAGGTGCTGTATATGCAACAACAGCTGGTCTTGCTAATGGTATTGGTGGACAAATATTTTATGGTGGTAAGAAGCAAATTTTATTTTAATAACATTCTTTTGTTTTTTTACCAATTTTTCTTCAATTAATTTAAGGTGTTCAATTAGATGCTCTTCGTGGTTATCAAACAGCAGCTGCTGCTGCTCCATATGTATTTGCTACACATGCTGGTCAAACAATACAACAACCGGCACTCTATGCTGCTCAATTACAAGCTGTTGCTCAACAACAACAAGCTGCTCAATACGCTGCAGCCGCTGCAGCAGCTCAACAACAGCAACAGCAACAACAACAACAACAAAGTTTAATGAATAGTATTCCAGCTGGTTATATGCTTGTACGTACAGCTAATGGTGGCTATGCTTTACTTGCTCATCAAACAGCAGCATCAGCTGCAGCAATGCAACAGCAAACACAAGCACCACTTGCACAACAACAGTATATTTCTTTTAATGCAGCTGGTCAACCTACAGCAGCTACGACACGACTTCCGGTAGCTATGGTTGGTGGGCAACCACAACAAATTGTTTATCAATATGCTGGACAACAAACTACACAAGCAGCTCCAACACAATATTATCAATTATCAACTAATTATTTACAACAACAACAACAATTATCAACAAGCCCAATTATGCAAGCAACAACATCAGCTGGTTCACAAGGTTGGTATACTTATTCGGATAAAAATTCATTTAAAATATTCAATAATATTCTTCTTTTCAGCTTATACAACTCAACCACAAACTCAATATATCGGTGCACCACAACCAGCTAATACTACTAATAATACAAGTGGTTCTTCATCAAATTCTGCTTCGATTGTTTCATCATCAAATGTAGCTTCAGCAGGAGCAGGTCAACCACAATCAACATCTACTCTAATATCACCACAAAAACAAAGTGCTGCATCAGCAACAGCTGCTGCTCTTCAACAACAACAGCAATATCAACATTCTCAATATACACAACATCAACAACAACAGCAACAACAACCGACCAATAGTTCTCATAATACAAATGTTTATTATGCAGCAATAGCTCAAGCACAAGCTCAACTTACTGCACAAGTACAAGCACAACAACAAGCTGCAGCTGCTGCAGCATTTGTACAGCAGCAACAGCAGCAGCAACAACAGCAACAACAACTTAACTTAATTCCACAAGTAATAAATTAAAATCATTATCAAGCGAACAAAAAAATACTAAAGTCAATAATTAATTTTATTTCTTTTGTTCTTTTCATTAGATGCAATATGGAACTCAACAAGGTATTCCACAACAAATGTATTATGCAACACCCGGTGGTCAAACAATATATCAAGCAGGTGGTCAAAATTATGTACTTGCTCAAGCAGCTCCAACAGCAACAACAACTACAACTGGAGCTCCAGCTATGTATTCTGCAGGTCCTGCATTACATAATGGTTCTACTCAACAAAATCAACAACATTCATCTCAATCTCAACAACAACAAATAGCTTATCAGATAGCCGCTGCAACTGGTCAGCCAACAGCTGCAGCATATCAAATGCTTAGTGCCACATCCAATGCAAATGTTACTACTCAACAACAAACGACAGCAGGTGCCGGTGTTGTGGCTCAACAGCCTGCCCAACTTGTGCAACGTCCAAGTGTATTACCACAAGTTCGACATCATCCATATAGAAACTAAATACGAAAATTTCTATGTTTATTTGCTGGGCTTTTTCACAATAATATTCTTTTTCATCTGTTGGTTTATTTCGTTTTGTTTTTTCTCTTGTTTATCACTATATTTGGTAACAGTAGAACCTTGTGCTTGGTCAATTCCTATATCTGAGAATTTCACTTTCTTGTGTGTCACGTTTGTTTACTTTTGTTTTTTTTTTCTTTGGCTTCAATATATTCATTTCACTTGTATATTAAAAAAAAAATTATATTCAGCAGCTATTCAATTTTATGTTTTGGTTGTATAAAAGACGAGAAAGAATAAGAAAAATCAATTTAATATTATATACACACGAGTGTAATACATATGTGTCTGATTAGATATAAATATATATAGTTTTAATTGAAATTCTCTAGATATCAAAGGAGTCAAAGAAAGCATGAGTAAGAATAATGATGGTGAAGATCTAGAATATTATAAAGCAAAACAAAATGCTGGACAATTGCCTGTAAGTAAAAATGAAACAACAAAAACTTCAAAGTCATTGTCAAACGCTGCAATGTTAAAATTAAAATCAGATGGTTACATACCAATGAATGAATCACCAGAAAAACAACGTGAATTTGAACGTTATAAAGAAATCACATTTGCACAAAAAGCAAGTGAAAAAGCTAAACAAAACCCACTTATACCGTTAGTCGATATTTGAACTTTTTAAACAAAAAAAAAATAACTTCCTTGAATTATTCTATAGTATTGGATTATTAACGACAGTAGCTGCTTTAACATTAGGTCTTCGTGCAGTGTCTCGTGGTGATAAATGGCAATCGCAAATGATGATGCGGTAAAAAAGAGAGAAAATAAAATATTTATTAATTTTATTCTTTTATCTTCTTTTTATTTAGAGCTCGAATTGGGTATGTTTTTTTTTTTATTCTCTTGCTTTTACATAAGAAAATTTCAAAATAGAATTGCCATGGTGTGACGGCCATTAACAGTCTTAGATAGAGCGTTGCACGGGTTTAGACATGTATGCATAGAATAACAATGAACATATGATAAAACGACAGTGATCTTTATTCTTCTCCATTTTTTCGATAGATGAAGGCTGATTTCAAGAAAATAGCTGAATTTTATAAAACATGACTTAGCTATGAAAACGAACAAGCGAACCATACGAGTTGATAGATACTTCACTATCTAGATGAAACCCTAGTCATTACATTGAACCTATTCAGACCAAAATAAAATCTAGAGAAGCTCTTCTCCATGCGTCGCCTTTTGAAGTTTAGTCGTCACAATGAATTTTTTACCTTTGCCACGGCATTTATAAAACAAAAATTGGACAAATAAATTTCGAATTAAACCTTTGTTCAAAAATAGCTCTGGAAGCCGTAACAATCTTCTAAAAGTTTCAACTAAAAGAGTGGTCTCTTCTCGTTTTGATTGAAATTTGTAGATAATCCTAATGACATCAAGAACTATTTGTGTACAAAGTATTAAACCAAAATTCATTTGTCCATTTTTTTTAAATACCCCACTAAAGATAACAAGGCTGGTGTAACGCCAAAATACAAATGGGGCAACGTATGTGAAAGAACTCTTTTAAGTTTCTTCTAGTCTCGACAAGCTCTTCGTAAAGACTGAAGTATCATATTAAACGCAAAGTATCGTCTCCGATAATTTCTTCGTAAACCCTTCTGGACTGAAAAAATTGAACTTGAGAATTTCGATTAACCTCCAATAGGTTCAGATTCATGATATCCTGCAAAAGATTATCCATCTATGACCGGCACATCATAAACTTACGTTTCATAGATTCTAAAAATAAAAATTAATTATGTTGATTATTACTTCATTTTCTTACACAAAAAAGATTCATGTAACGATAAATGGAATTAATGAAATGCTTCGCTTAGTTTTTATGTTCAATAGTCATAATATGTTTTGTTTTTCAAAATAATTGCTAATTTACAAAATTATTATGCTTATGTTTATAACAAAGCTATATTAAGAAGTATCAATGTATCTTTAAATAGATATTCTCAGAAGAAACATCGCAATTTATTGTATGCTGAGTACATGCTTTTCTTCTTGAAATGGTTTTCTATTTGTCATTGAATTTATTACAGAGCATACTAGGTGATTCGTACGAAACATAAATAAATTATATTTATTTTTATTAAATTCACTAAGCTAATGTAAACAAAAATAACAGCACAAAAATAAGTTTTTCTCGACTTTTGCCTCTCTTCTTAGCGTAAAAAAATCATTTTTTATCTTGATCAATTATTTGCGTCAAGTATTAGTACCAAATAATTTGATGATTTCTAATCATCTATTAATTTTTCAAAGGAAACGACAATCTAATGATGGAGTAACCTTTTGTCGTTTATTATCAAGGGGTAAAGAACGTACTTTCAAGGGTTTAGCGATAGCGAACACCTATCACCCACTTTGAGCAAAATTTTCATTTGTTCCCAGTAAAAATCGTTCTTTTGAAAAAAAAACAATAATATTTGTATGTTTACACTTGAAAAAATTGAATATGCAATCTTTCAAATATAAAAATAGTTTCTTTTCAACCTCTTCTCAATAATTTTTTTCGTCATACGACTACGTACATGTACGTACTTTTTTGTACTTGAAAACATATTCATATGTTAAGTAAATAAAAAAAAAATATATGTACTCTTTCATGATAATTGCTTGACAATATTTTGCACTAGAAAAAGTATTGAAAAACATATTGCAAGACAGATGTATGATTAATCCTGATGTCACTCATTTCTAGTCGTACAACTCAATATAGATAAAATTCATTGAGTGATATCTAACATTTTAATTAAATTAACAATGATGAATCATAAAATAGTTGCCAATCTCAATGTCTTTCAACGACAATTTTTAAGATTTCTGAAAAAAGAAAACATCGACAGTTCCAAAAACTACTTCTGCTTTTCTAATTTCTCAAATATCCATAATTATCGAAATTTTCAAAAGTCTAAAATTTCGTTGTATAACTAACTCGTGCAATGATTGATACAAATAAGAA